CTATAGGATCTATTCACTAAGCTGCCGTAGGCAGCCAAGTGAACGACTGACCTTCAGGTTTGTATAGCTGATTTCAGTTGTATATCGGCTGAAATCAGCCATACATCGGGTAGCTTCGCATGGCTTTGGGTCGGCCGAACATGCTCAGCATGTTCGGCCGACCTGAAGTGCAGAAGGAGTTCCCATCAGCCGATCCAGCATCTGGATCGGCTTAGCCGAGCCTCCGGCAGGCTACTCGCTGCTGTTCGGTCTATTCTTATAGATGCGGAACAGCAGTGAGTAAATAGCCGAATGTCGCTGAGCGGCTATTCTGCTCGGTCCCTCTGTGGGAAAATAGTTTAAAAAGTAGAAAAAAAACAATAGAAAACAATTGTGCGGAGCTAGCAGTGACAGCTAGCTCTGCCCAACTATTTTCTATTGGCCGGTGGTTCTGCTGCCGTCAAAAAAAAGAAAAAAAAACATTTTCGCCATAGGAATGCATTGCTTGATTCCTACTGGCTATTTCAATTTGCAATAGTCAATAGCAAACTAGCTATTGCACCTGCCCTCTGCTGCTGTCAATCACTAGTGGGGACCTGATAAAGAACTGCAGGTCCCCTCTGCTGATTGACAGCAGCAGTGGGTGGGTGCAATAGCTAGTTTGCTATTGGCTATTGCAAATTGAAATAGCCAATAGGAATCTAGCAATGCATTCCTATGGTGAATTTTTTTTTTTCTGACGACAGCCAACAGCTCCATGTCCGAATGATTTCGGGAGCTGTACAGGCTATAGAAAATAGCCCGTACAGCAGCCCTTCGGTTCTACTGAACCAAAGGGGTCTTGGAGGCCGAGGCTAGCCGAAGGATCAGCCTAAGCTGCGGCTAGATCCTTCGGCTGCATCGTGAATAGACCCTGTCATTTAATGGTAAGCATTAGCCTGCTTTACCGGCAGGTTTATTAATTTCTATTAACACCAGAACCAAGTGAGAACTAATGATTTAGAGCTGGGTACTACAGATGCTACCATATTGGGGCATATGTATATTTGGACCTGCTAACAAGAACACATGATACATGTCTGTGATGGCAGCATTGCATTGTGCACCCATCATGATAGTAAAGGTAAAAGGGGTCATGGCTTTACAGGAAGAGAAGGTGGTAAGGTATCATTAAAATGAATGATTGCACCTTCATAACATGCCACCTGCCAAAGTAGATGTGCTGAGCACTGTAATTCTACATCAGCAACCTTTGGCTACTGTATGGGAACATCTTATAAAAGACAGTATTGAAGTGCCATGAGAAACTTCATTTTCTCTGTATGATGGGGACCTGTATGTTAAAGCTTTACTAAACATAAGGGCTATAATCACTGGATATTAGTAGATCCTGCAAATTGTTGTGGGACATTAAATGTACTGATGCAGTATTGCTAAATGTACCGGTGGCGACAGGGGCTGACTGGCAACTTTTAGCCCAGGGGGCAAGTACAACCCAGAGGCCCATGGTGCAGCAACTTGGCCCCCCTCCCGCTCTGCCTCTTCCCCGGACGCCCCTGTTTTCCACTTTTGCCATCCTTGTAAAAGTAGTGTTAATGTATTTATAGCATACAGACCGTGCTGGTTACTACTTAAACTGGCGTGTGCAGCTTATTAGCATAGCGAGGAAGCCGTCTGCGCATTTTGCATCGCTCCTGCTACGCTAATAGCGTATCACGACCATACTGTAGTGGACAAAAATCAACCATGGGAGCAGAGAATTAACTTTCAGCTGGTAATAATGATCCCAATGTGTTATATGTGCCCTAGTAGTGATCTCTTTTTCATCCAGTGTTGCATCTCATCTCTGCTGATCAGCGGTGCATTCTTTTCAGCCACTTCCTGTCTATATGCAATGCACTGCAGCAACTGCTTCATTTGCCAAGGTGGGTTTCCTAATGATGAAAGCTGTGAACAATGCCCGTGCCATACATGTAGACACAGCTGCTTGCAATGAGAGAACATATGACAGGGTGACAACAAAAAGAACAATATGAAGATAGGGAAAGAATTGTCATCCTACAACAGGAAGTACCTGAACAAGCACCACATAGCAGGATCACCAGTTGTTGTTTTAATAAAAGCTGCAGGTTAAAAAAATATTGAAAATTACTTTTGAAAAGATATTAAGATGGTAAAGCTTATATGAGATTTCAGGGATTGGGCTTACATATACTGGACTTTATTCCTTAGCAATAGACTCAGTTTCTTTAAAATTAAAATTCTGAATGCCTTGCAAAACTGTCATATCATGGAAAATATCTTTGTTGATTGCAAATATATATTGCTAATATATATTTATTTGATTACTCACATCATTATATGTGTTAGAAACATAATTATCAAGTTAATATTTCCGTAAAAAAGAAAAATGTCTGAAGCATCACGGAAAAAGAACTGCTGTAATAATCCCAGCAGCATATCTTGACATAGTAGGACACTATTAAAATTCTTAAACATGTTTGAAAGAATCAGCAACTTCTTTCTCTGCACCTCAGGCTAAACAGAGTTAAACAGCAATTGAACATATCTCAAGAAGCATCTCCTGCCCCAAGGCTTTGACTGCTGTCATTTTGAATGTGGCATTATCATGTATCATTGGGATACTGGATGCCATCTCTAAAGCAGTCTAGCTGAATAAAATCAAGCATAAATCTTCTGTTTGGGACATGCAGACTGTGATACAGTTCCTGTGCTTATTAATTGCTTGTGGACAGAAAAAACATTCTACGCACATCAGTGAACAGGAGTGTAAACTTATTCCTTTTGCTACCTAAATATTTTATTATAAATTCAATTTTACAACTGGATTTATTTAATAATGCATTTAAAAAAAAGTAGTAGCCAACATGGCATAATCTGTAAAGATATTGCCCCTTCAAGTGCTAATTTCTGGTAGGTTACAATGGAATATGCCAAATTTGTATTACAGTACTTACCATAGGTGTATTTTTACTTTTCTATTTTCTGTACAAGAATGTAGGGTTATAAGGGAACATCCTCTGACATAACTACCCTAGTGCTACAACATATGCAAAAAGTACATACAGGTTTTGATTTATTAAAAGAGTAGTGGCTGTTCACTAAGCACAGTGTATGTTCACTATGTAAAGTTAATGTTAGTGAATAAGGTGTAACTGTGTTCATGTTTAAAGTTTAGGTACAGTCAATTGTTTTTTCACTTTTAGATAGGCAGGGAAGCGTTATTATTATTATTGTTATTATGATTACTATTACAGGTACTTATATAGCGCCAACAATTTATGCAGTGCTTTACATAGTACACATTCACTTTAAGAAGCTTAAAATGTAAGGGGTCTATTCACAAAGCTGCCGAAGGATCTAGCCGTAGCTTGGGCTGATGCTTCAGCCAGCTTCGACCCCAGGACCCCATCGGGTCCCAAAGTTACGGCCCGTACGGCTCCCAAAGTTGGCCGAGGGGCTCAGTCGAGCCGAAGGCATATGCTTCAGCTCAACAGAGCCGAGGTGAAAGCCGAAGCTGGCTGAACGGCCGGCCGACAGCCTGCTACTGATGGCTGGGTGGAGCCAGCCATCATCTCACAGCTGGGCTGAGCCAGCCGTCATCTCACGGCTGGCTCCGGCCACTTAAAGAGACCGATCAGCGTCCCCTGGTTACCAGGTAACCAGGGACGTTTATCTGTCATTACACTGAGAACTCCGCTGAGTTCTCAGTGTGTAATGACACTTCAGCGTACCCTGGTTACACTGAAGTGTAACCAGTGTCCTCGAGGATGCTGGGCTCTCCCCACTTCAGCTGTGCCTACGGCTCACCCGAACACCCATGTAATAGCCCATACAGCAGCCCTTCAGTTCAACTGACCCGAAGGGCTCTGGTGGCTGAAGTGAGCTGAAGGAACAGCCAAAGGTACGGCTAGATCCTTCAGCTCCATCGTCATATATTGGGACTAGGGTTGCACAGATACCAACTACAGTACTCGGTACAAGTACAAGTACATGTACCGATACTTTTGAGCTCCAAGACTAGACTAGAGAAAAATTAAAAAAATAGGAGGCAGCTGTCATTTCTAAGGAGCACACGGGGCTCCTGGGATTTGTACATCTGTTTTAATGTATGATTTTGTTTTTATAAATATAAATAAAGGTTTGCGCAGATACCAGTTTCGCGAGTACGAGTACTGGTACTTGCCGAGTACTTACAAGTACGAGTACTGATAAATTTTTGTTTATTGTCATGTGACAGTTTTTATAAAACAATACATACTAATGATTTCCGGACATTGGTGGAGTGCCAGAGCCAGGTCCCAGCTGCAACCGCTGCAACCCTGGTAGTTCTCATGAAAATGCCAAGTATCTGCACTGGTACTCGAAAAGTATCTGTGCATCCCTAATTGGGACATATGTATTAACCAATATTTTGACCTGCTAACAAGAACACATGCTACATGTTTGTGATGGCAGGGTTGCATTGTGCACACATCATGACAGCCAAAGTAAATGGAGCCATGGCTGTACACAAAGAGAAGAATGGTAAGGTATCATTAAAATGGAAGATTGCACCTTCATAACATGCCACCTGTCAAAGTACATGTGCTGAGTACTGTAATTCTACAACAGCAATCTTTGGCTACTGTATTGGAACATCTTATAAAACACAGTATTGAAGTATGAGAAACTTCATTTTTCTCTGTATGATGGGGACTTGCATGTAAAATCTTTACTAAATGTAAGAGCTATAATCACTGGATATTAGTAGATCTTGCAAATTGTTGTGGGACATCAATGGTACTAATGCAATATTGTTAAATGTACTGCTGACACCCACACTGTAGTAGAAATAATCTACCATGGGAGCAGTGAATTGACTTTTAGACTTTTAGGCAAACATACAATTGCTGTGTATATCCATTTGGAAATATAACTGAAAGCCCCAACATCTGGTAGGTTGCCCACCCTTGGCTCAGACAATAATATTGTTTTAATGAAAATACTGCAATTCCCACCTCTGAGGCAGATTGGCAGAGTATTTGCCCATCGTTGAGTGAAGCGTCTTCCTGGAAATGTTTCACTAGAGGTGGCCTGGCTCTCATGATCTCTTAAGCCCATGGGTGGCAGCTGGGGTCTATTGTCACAGCCTGGAAAGTCAAAAATAGAGGCTTGGTCACTGACTGGTGAGAGCTGGGCAAGTGAAAGGGATGAGTTTAAACATGAACCTAACAGTGTAAACAGATGAAAGCCTAAACAAAATGTATGACTTTATTTTATTTAAGTTTTTTTCTAATCAGATATTTTTACTACTTTTTCAAATAAACAAAACAAAGACATATAAATAGAAGATACAATTTAGAATTAATGTAGAAACATATAAAGAAAAAAATAATTTTCACTCATGTATAGGGACACAGAGAATCTGCCCTTTTCATGTCAAAAAGATATATATTTTGTTCAGAGAAGGTGCGAGTAATATGGAAAAGACAGTGACTAAACTGACACAATTATGTGAGACTCCTAGGTATATGGTAGTGTGATAGAACTATAGTGCTCAAGATGAGAGAAGTGACTTTGGTGTGGACTGATAAACAAACCAGCAAGACCATATCATTGAGTGTTTATGAGTGGACCTTCTAGATTGATACCTGAGTTTTTCAAAGACAATACATAATAATCTACTTCCAGCATTCATGACTCCAAAATTGGAGGAAAATTATGGGTTCTATTCACTAAGCTGCCATAGGCAACCGAGTGAACGACCGACCTGAAGCGGAGTGAGCTGAACGCTGTTCGGCTATTCACTTCAGGCTGGTATGGCATAAATCAGCCGTACATTGGGTGGCTTTGCGTGGCTTCAGGTCGGCCGAACATGCTCAGCATGTTCGGCCGACCCGAAGTGCAGATGGAGTTCGACTCAGCCGATCCAACATCTGGCAGGCTACTTGCTGCTGTTTGGTCTATACTTATACATGCCGAAACAGCAGTGAGTGAATATCCGAATGTCGCTGAGCGGCATTCGACTCGGCTGTTCTGCTCGGTCCCTCTGTGGGACCGAGCAGAACAGAAAAATAGCTAAAAATGTAGAAAAAAAATAGAAAACGATTGTGTGGAGGTAGCAGTGACAGCTAGCTCCACCCAACTGTTTTCTATTGGCCGGCGGTTCTGCTGCCGTCACAAAAAAAGAAAAAAACAATTTTTTGCAAGTGGCCGGAGCCAGCCGTAAGATCACGGCTGGCTTCGCCCAGCTGTCAGAAGCAGGCTGCCGATCGGCCAATTGCCGGCCGCTCGGCCAGCTTTGGCTTTCACCTCGGCTCAGTCATGCCGAAGTATATGCCTTCGGCTCGAGTGAGCTTTCACCTCGGCTGATTTCGGGAGCTGTACGGGCTATAGTAAATATACCGTACAGCAGCCCTTCGGTTCTACTGAACCGAAGGGGTCCTGGGGCCGAAGCTAGCCGAAGGATCAGCCAAAGCTACGGCTAGATCCTTCAGCTGCTTCGTGAATAGACCCCTATATGTCCATTTAATTGTAACCATTTTGCATGCTATAAACAAAGCTCTAAAAAGGACCAGCAAATCTTAACTATCCAGTAAAGAGAAATCAAAAGATTCCAAAACACATGTACTACCTCCCAGTAGTGAACTAATTTTGGGCAACTTTAAAGTAAATGTTTTAAGGATCCCTTAATGATTGTGCGTTTGGAACAGCACAGGTCTTAAGAAAATTTAGATTGCACAATTAAAATCTGTGTCAGCCTATGGAAGGCAGAGAAGGATACTTTTAAGTGATCCTACAGAATATCATTCCATTCATCCTCCGATATATTTGATAGGTCAGATTCCCATCCAATGTTGCATCCTAAAGGGAATTTATGTTGAAATTTGGACACACATGTGAAATACATATAGGAGATCATGCCTTTTGTGTAAATTGTTTTAACCAGCTCATCAAGTACAAGGGTAGGATATATGATGGGATCCATAGGGCTAAACTGTGCTCATAGATGTTGAAGTAGCTCAGGTAGATTGTCATCATCACTTATAGGTGTACACATTGTAAGAGTTTCAATGCCAAATAGATGTTTCGCTGATTCTCAATCTGTACCAATAAGGTGTACAATTGGTAGAGCTGTGGAGGTTTTTACATTTGCAGTGATTTTTTATTTTCAAATTAAGTCCCAAAAAATGCTATTAGTTCCATTAAAGATATCCATGGAGTAACTGAGGCATCCATAACATTTTAATTAGAATAATCCAACCAGCTACCGAAAGTGGGTGTTTACACCATACTGTATGTTGCAGTTGAAATTATGTATAAGTGGTTGTAGATTTAGCAGCAATGTATTCAGCAGGGTCTCAGGAGACTCGGGTACTTAAATATTTAAATCCTTCTGTTAGATTGGGATGTGATCAATCCTCTGGTAGGGGTCCTGGTAAATGGACTAGTGGAAAAGTGTGGACTTCTTAAAATGTATAAGCATGTTGGAAAACCAGTCAAACTCAGACAGCAAGGACATTACATGTATGAATGAAGAGAGAAATCTGCCAAAAAAGAAGTGTATCATCCGCATCCTTAGTCTCTTCCACCCCAACCTAAACCCCACTATATCAACTGTTAAGTTCCCTCGATGGCTAAGGCAAAACATTTTTGAGACAAGGGGAAGCCCTGTCTTGTTCCTCTTGGTAAACAGAAATTCAGAGAAAAAGAGCTGAGGCTCAAGTGCACTGTCCCCGTCTGGTGATCTAAGAGGTGGCTCCGCCTGCACTCCAATCATGCTGACAGGTCTCCAGGACAACATATGATGCTGCCGCAGATACAGCTGTGGTACCGCCTATTCTTGCTACTCGTCGGTCGGTGTTCTGGCAGGTGTTTTTTATTACTATTATCTGCTTCCATCTGTCCCCTTGGTGAGTGTCTTCTACAATTGTATCTGCATATGGCGTTCTGTGTTTTTATGCACTACTCAATCGGTACACACTTTGATGTGTTATCACTGTGCCTTCTTTGTTTTGATCTATTTGTCGTTGCTTTATTTAAAAATTCTGGTGGGCTGTAACATCATTATGATGTTTGGGGGAGGTTTTTAGCATAATGTAATGATGTGGGGGTATATATATGAGTTCTTTTGTCTCAGCCTGCTGTCACTATGTCTGCTCTGATGAAGGAACCCTGCATGATTCCGAAACATTGGCTATTGAACACAAGTGACATGCTTCATTAATAAAAAGAAAACTGTTTATTTCATCCCTTGAGTGATGGTGATCATCATTGCTGTTTACTCTGGATACGTACAGCGCCATCCATGGACATCACTACAAGCACCACCATTACTTTTGGTCTTTATTTCTGTATGGTGTGCAAGGGACTTCTTCATTTATTTACCAGTAGAATCACACTCTTCCCAAAATGCGCTTCTTCTGAAATAAAGTTTGTTTTCAATTTTATGCAGATAGAAAGCTTCTAGTTACTGTTGTGCATCATGCCATTTCTTTTATGTAGCTAAACATGGATCTAAAAGCAAAGCTGATTCTGCAGTGGAAAGTTCCTTGCAGAGATTTTGTTCATTGTCTCTAATTGCATTTTTAAACTGACTAATTTCTTTTATAAATAGTCCTCTCATATAGGATTGTAGCGTATCCTACATAACAATCTGGAGGGCAGTATGTGCATCTAATGGAAAAAAAGGATTTATGATCACATACGATATTGTCTGAGGCGGAGATTAAGCATATCCAGAACGGGCTCAGGTGCCGTAATCCCAAAGCAGGTTTTGGGCCTGCATTAAAAGAAACAAGAATTAAAAACTCGACCGAACTCTGCCTAGGCTGTTTTTCTAATAATGACACATATGGTAAGGCATCTAAAGTGCCCATCATCAGATTAATACAAATGAGTGTATTATTAGCCTAGGACTGACACAAGTATTGTAGCGAAGTGGGAGGTAGCATTCTCCTAGCAAACCCTGTTCAGAACATAAGTTCTGAAACTAAATTCTTAAAAGTTATTTAATAAAGTGCAACCAGCAACAATTATAAGCAAAATGCAGCAATCATAGTGCATATGATTTATAAATGTTTCTTGAAGTGAATGTAAGGCCAAAACTATTTTTATGTTTGTGGGTAGAGTAGGGAATGGTAATTCCCTGAGGGTTAAATTCTTGTGAATTCCCCGCTAAGACATCTGTCCCCAAAACAAATGTTCCAATTGAAATATTTATCCTTACCTCTTCTTATGGGGATGCCTCCAAAACTGTGTATTATTCCTAACTTTCTTTTCAGTAACAAAGGTTTTTAGAACAAATAGAGGTCTGAAAGTCCCCAATAGGGACACAAACAGTGATAAAAACTTGCCAGGGGTTTGATCCTTCCCCACTTTACCCAAAACTAAATAAAAAAGTTTTTCCCTAGAGATACATTTACGCTAATTGGATTACAGTAAAGTGAAAAATATGAAAGCACTTTCAAATAATTATTGCCTTATTATTTTAACTACCTAAGTTGGCATGTGTACTTGCAATTGCTTATACATAGGGGAAGAATTTTTTTTAACTGATCCAATATCCTTGATAATATTGGTAAATAGATCTTAAAAAATTGGGACATCACTAAGGAAAACAAACTCAGTTGGTTTAAGTTTATTAATGAAGTGCTCAGTGGAGCACACCGTTCAATCCTCCAATCTGGTGCAAGGAACCTTTCATATTTGTTACATTTAGTTATGTGTGATTACATATCAGAATTTATTGGACTAAAATAATGTTTTCCCATTAAGTAAATCGACCCCATGGCTCAAACATTGGTTATTCCCCCCACATTCACCAAAAATTCAAATTTCACTTCTATACTTGACTTTAATAAGATATTTTTTTATAATTCAAACTCAGGGACTGAATTCAACAGAATTCTTTGGTCTACCTATTTCTCTGCTCCTCTAATTCACGCTATGATTCCAAATTATTGTATTACTTTCCCAAACATGTCCCTTTCTTAAACATTTCAAACAGTTATCTTGTTCTAGAGTACTTCCTCTATAAACCAGCCTTTGTCATAAGCAGAAATAATTAAATTCCTTCAGATCCACAGACAGCAAGCACAGAAACTACAGTAAATCATTAGCAGTAGTGATTTAG